GAGAGAGAGAGAGAGAGAGAGAGAGAGAGAGAGAGAGAGAGAGAGAGAGAGAGAGAGAGAGAGGAGAAAAAGAGGAGGCATCGTCCGACCCCCGTTGCCGGAGGACGCGCGGCCGAGATCCCCCTTCCCCCTCTTGCTCCCTCCTCTATAGATGGCCCCCTGCGTATTGATCCGCGAGCGTCCTGTCCATTTCATCCCGATCCGATCCCCCATCCTGTCTCTTCTTCCGTCTTCCTCGTCTTCCGTCCCCCTCATGCGCCGCGGAGCCGTCTGACACACGGAGCGGGGATCGAAATCGATGCGGTCTCGGAAATTTCAGATTTTTACCCTGCGCCAATACGAAAGCGAGAGCGAGAACGATCTCCCCCGTATTTGCTCTCCTGACGATTGGCAAATATTAGATTTTTACTTATCTCCGGCGGTCGGCAATTGATGTCGCCGAATCGGTGCACTTGAAATCAATGTAGTTTCAAGAAATTCAGATTCTGACGCACCAAATGTCCTCCAGAAGAGTGAATAGTCGATTGTTCGTTTATTTTTACACATGATGATAATGCCGAACATTTACATCGGCGATTAGGTTCGAAATTATGCACCAATTAGTAGAACAAAATAAACTCTGTTTTTCTGATATTGATTTTATATTGTAAATGTAAAATGGGACGAGAGAATTCTATTATATTTAACGCAAATCTATTTGCGTTCTGCTCAATAATTTCAATGATGTTAAATCTTTTCGAGCACGTATCCAACTGGGGACACTATATTTATTCAATTTCATAAAAAATTTATCTTGGAATTTCAATTTGAAACAAAAGAGATTCGAGACGAAAGTTCAGTTGGAGATGTGCGATTTCCAATCTTACATACTTTTCGTTTGCTAATTATTTGTAATATAATTTTTTAGTCATTGGGCGTTTTAAAAATATTAAACCTTCATTTTTTTATCTATTTTTTTAAATTCATATGTTTTTTATATCAAAGAGATAGATTTTTTTAATTTTCTCGTTTTTACATTCTATCAGAATGAAGAGTTAATGAAAAGAGTTAGTGAAAAGTTAGATCAGAAAATTTTTTAATTCTACCTTTGAAAAGAGAAAAATTAATTTAAAAAATAGAATTCGTCAGAAATAACTCGTTCGGTATTACTACTAAAAAAAAAAAGACAACATAGAAAATAATATATAAACTTTTAAGATAACTTTTTATAATCATTTAACTAGAATAAAAAATTTTGCAAATGTAAGATATGAGAATCATAAGTCACAGAAATTTGGAACATAAGTTTATTCATATCTTTTTTTTATTATGTCTTTTATTTATTTGTCATAATGTAAAAAATCAAATGTTGATACATTTAAGTTAATTAAAATTAAATAATATGAATTTCTGATGAATGCACACATTATTTCAGTAAACATCAATTTCCTAACATAACATTACATCAATATTATAATTTCTCATCCAACAATACAATATGTTATATACAATATGTATTATATTATAATTATTGAGCAAGAAATTTTAATATTAATACAATGTTACTAATTAGTGAGGTCCTTAATAATCAGATTACACTGATTTATACTGATTATATTGGTTATATGATTGGTTATATATGATTCTCCTATATATACTTGAACATCATCAAAGATTGAAAAATGTAACATTGTTTCTTATTATTTCTATTCTTTTTAGTATTCATCTTTTGTTAATAATCTGCGATGTTAAATTGTGATCAATTGTTTCTTCTTTTCTGTTTTTAAATAGGAACAATCGCACAAGTCTTATAGACCTCTTTGCGTTCTCACATTCCGGTGGAATTACCTGATTCATCAACTAGATCCTATGGGATATCATCTGCTAAATGTTATTCTACATGTTGGAGTATGTCTATTATATTTCAGGTTAGTCTTATTTCAATTTTGTACATTATTTTACGAATAAAATTACAGAAAATTACTTTTGTAAGACTAAAGGCAAGAAAAGAAATAGCAAATTGTTTGCAGGACCTGTTTGATGTTTCTATCAGACACAGCAAGTTTTGTGTCATCTTTATTTTTTGCCGTGCATCCTATACACACAGAAGCAGTATGTAATAATTAAAAAAAAGAAAACATTTAAATTATTATCGTAAATGATAGCTATTGATAAATATGGCTGTAATTACGTTTCCAGGTCACAGGTGTAGTTGGTAGGGCAGAAACTTTGTCCTCCTTATTTTACCTGGCAGCTTTAATCACATATACTAAATGTTGTAAAAGCAAAAGATCTACAGGGTGGAAATCCTTGATATTATCCATGTTTTTTGTGTTTACTGCAATGTTGTGCAAAGAGCAGGGAATAACAGCAACTGCAGTTTGTGTACTGTATGAAATTTTTGTTGTACAGAAGGTAAAAGTCATTCGGTATACATTAATTACATGTGATTTTCATGACAAGATTATGCTAATATCTATTTATTCAGGTTAGAGCGAGGGATATTTTCTTAGCACTAAAATCAGCTTTTGGTGGTAATAAAATTTCACCTGCATGGTCAGGCGAGGGTACAAAACGTTTGACCGCTCTTACACTTGTTACATTTAGTCTGCTTATTCTACGGTTACATATAATGGGCTCAAAGTTACCTGTATTTACCAGGTATAATTGTATATATACAATTTTCATATAATTTTACTTATACATTACAATTGATGGTGATGTATGCATCTTTTTTAGATTCGACAATCCCGCATCAGTTGCTACAACACCAACAAGACAGCTTACATATAATTATCTCGCTGCAGTGAATCTAAGACTGCTGTTTCTTCCAAGTGATTTATGCTGTGATTGGACAATGGGAACGATACCATTAGTAGAAAGCTTTACCGATATCCGCAATCTCGCGACCCTAGCTACTCACGGAACTGTATTAGGATTGCTTGTGACGGCTGTTGTAACACGTAGCAGACAAACATCAGTCATTCTTATTATGGTTAGTAGAGACGTGCATGATTGCACGTTAGACCAAAGTAGCAGAAAGAAATAATTGAATAATTATATGTTTGCTGAATATAAAATGCATGTGTTGTAAATAGAATTTTGTATATTCTGTAATTAACAAATTCTGTAATTAACAATACTAATGATCTAATATGTTCTCAAAATAATGCCTGCAGAGTTTGGCTATGATGATACTCCCTTTTTTACCCGCGTCAAATCTTTTCTTTCCGGTCGGATTTGTAATCGCTGAGAGAGTGTTATACGCTCCTTCCATGGGGTTTTGCATGCTTATTGGATATGGATGGAGCATTTTAGCAGACAAGAAGTAAGTTGACTTATTTGTGAATGTAACTCAATTTATACGAATTGCTTTTGTAAATCATAGAAAGTATTTCTTTTACATAAAATATTCTTTCAGATGCAAAAAGGCAGTATTACTTTTACTCGTAACGCTTCTAGCGGCACACACGACAAAAACGTTTATCAGAAATTACGATTGGTTAGATGAATATTCAATATTCATGTCCGGCTTAAAAGTAAACGATAGAAATGCCAAATTATTCAATAATGTGGGTCATGCGTTGGAAAGCCAAGGCCGTTTCAAGGAAGCACTGAATTTTTTCAATATGGCTGTACAGGTTCAGGGTGACGATATTGGAGCACATATTAATGTCGGAAGAACTTATAATCATTTGAAAATGTTTAAGGAAGCTGAAGACGCATATTTAAAGGTACATAATATCAGGGAAAAAAGTGAAAGTGTGTGCGAACTTGTTTAATTTTTTTATTTTTGTTATACATCTATTTATATATTTTTTCTAGGCCAAGTCGTTACTACCAAAAGCAAAACCGGGAGAATCTTATCAAGCACGCATAGCACCGAATCATTTAAATGTGTTTGTTAATTTGGCTAACTTGATAGCTAAGAATGCAACTAGATTAGAAGAAGC